AGAAATTACTTTTTGGGTAGAAGGGCACTAAATGCATTACATTTTCTCCTTCTAGTCGTGTGGTGCTTATCCAAATTTAGTCATTAAGGCTCTTTTATGCCAATACGGAACCTCGTTAGTTTTATTTCAGTGCCCTTAAAAGCATATCATTAAACCTGAGTTTTGATAGTGTAGTCGGTGGATCGTTTAGTTCTGTATGGGACACAACCTGAAACAGGAAGACTTAAGAACAGAAGACTCTGGTTTCATAAGCTCATAATCAATAGAGACAAAATGGTACAAAATCAAGCATCTGTGCCTCATGTCTAATGCTCCACCATTACTTCAGAGCAGTAGGTCAGTTCTGTGTATGTGGACAGCACACTCTTCCTGTTTTGCGCTGTAAGGGGATTTGCACCAAGGCTTTTCCACCATTGTATCACAGTAGTCATTAGCATCTGAAAAGCCTGAGAGATTCATCATTTTAATATCAAAATCATGATTTGAATAAGTGCAGTTTCCAAATCACAAAAAACATGATTGAAATTCAATGATCGTCTCCACAAGCTGTTAGAGGTGAACGTTTTGGTTGGTGACTGTGACTGTTTAATGGCTGATAGGAAAATTGTTGCCAGAGAGTTAACTAGCTGTAGCTAATAAACATTGAATCTGTGAGATGGCCAAGCCATAAAATTAAATTCTTGAGCTTCACATGCTTGTATCAGTACTTTTTTAAAACCTCTGAGCCTCTGCAGGAAGTAGATCTGGCTCTGGCCATACTTGTAGAGGACCTCTTTGTTTCCAGGCCACTCCAGCTAGGTATTCATAAGGGAACCGAGAAAGTCCACAATTAGCTCCTTCGATTCAACTGCTGTGCTTCATTCTGCACCTCAGCTAGAGCTGTCTCCACCAACTCCTGAAATAAATGCACTTTAGCTACTAAATGCCCCACTATGTTCAGCAGCTAGTCTCTAACTGTGTCTGTCTGCTGTTTGCTGCTGAGCAGGTAGTGTACAGTGGGTTTTTCCTGAGCTTTTGATTGGAGCTGTGAACCTGAACCGAAACAGTTGGGGGGATAGGTAAGAAAATATCGAAAAAATATTGAATCGCAATATTTAGTTTTGTGATATTGTATCGATTCTAAACGATACTGTATACATTTTTTCATAGGTCTGTGATGTTGGATATTACAGGGACAATGATTCCTGTTCTGGTTGCACAATATATCACATTAAATTAAATTGTAATCCCTGTATTGCAATAGGTGTTGTATTGCCAGATTCTTGCCAAAACACAGCCCTATTGCGGGCTGTAAAACCAAACAGAGCTGAAGAGAACAAAAGAGTTGGGTGATAATTCTCTGTGGTTTTGTCACTATGAGCGATTCCTTTCACAAAACACATGTCATTTGATCCATTGTCAAGGATCCTCTCCAGACATCTGTTACTCACACATAAGTTATCTGCACACACAATAATGTGTGTCTGATTTCTTCCGCAAAAAAGTATAATTTCTGCGTTAAAATCCTTCTATCTAAAAATACAAATGTTGTTCATTTCTTAAGTTTTCCTGCTGGACACAAGATGTCTCCTACTTCATTGTGAAGTCCATTCTCAGTGGATGTGCACTGGCGGCTTCAAGTTTCTACATCACACTGTACAAGTTGCATATTGGACCAGGACTGACTTCCAGACTATTTGTGATTTGTCCCAAATCCTGCTGGTAGGCCCCGCCTCTTAAAAAATCAGATTTTCAATGAGCACAGAAAAACTTTCCACTTTCTAGTGTCAAACTCTCACAGTGTAGGAACAAGAAAAAAAACAAATTTTTGAGTGGAGGGGGACTTTAATATACAAATATTGATTAAAACAGCTTTAAATCACAGTTGCAAAATTGTTCAGAAAAATCACAGTGTGATATTTGCTAAAATCCTTTATTCCTTGTACCTGGTGCTACTCAAGGGAAAAAAAAGAGTAAGGCCTGCCAGAGGCTTCCCGTCTTCCCAGCATTCTGTTTAATTATTTAGGGCAAACATACTAATGTCCACAAATGACTTTATTCATGGTGTAATTCATGAATACACCACCTTGAACTTGCATTCTGAGTACGATATTTATTTAAGGTGGTTCAGTTTAATGTCGGTGATATTAGCCCTGTGGTATTCCTCTTCCATTAGGACAGTGCCAACAAAGATTATTGTATTTACACATTCATTTGTACACGTGTATGTTCTGGTCATTGACTGTGCTCTTCCATTTAGTCTGCTTCTGCGTGTTTGTTTAATGTTTAATACTCATTTGTGCCTGAGCCACTGAGCTAAACCAACACCACCAGAATCATAAGCCTGTGTTCCTGAAAAAAAACCAACTGATATTCAAGCAGTGACGTGACTTATACGAGCACTTGCATGCAAACGCACTCTCTCTCTCTCTCTCTCTCTCTCTCTCTCTCTCTCTCTCTCTCACACACACACACTCACACACACACACTAGGTTGCACATGTGCATTTGCATGCAAGTGCTCGTATAAGTCACATCACTTCTTGTATATCAGTTTTTTTTACCACAACTGAGTCAATGAAGACGGCAGGTGTCCTCACTCTCTGGAGGGGAATTGTGTGTTTTGTGTGTGTCTCTGCTGTATTTCACACATGGCTTACTCTAGTACTAGGTCAAGCACATGTCACCTCCTCATCCCCATGTCTCTCTTCATCCTCAGACTGAAGCGTTGCATCTTTCTTATACTGACAACTGTGACACCAGCTTTGTCCTGTATGGGAGTTGGGCTAAATGTGACAGCTATCTTTCTTGGCTCTTGGCCCTTAGGTCTTGGCTCTCAGCTCTGATTAGTTGTTTTAATTTGGATTCTTGGAAATGTAATAAGGAACTTACTAGGAGGAGTCAGACGAACCAGATTGTTTCACAGATTATCTGTCTCAGTATAAATTTAAAATCCTCCTCCTCACCTACAAAGCTCTTCATGGTCAGGGCCCTTCATATCTTAAAGCTCAGTGGGTAGAGCTGGCGACCCATGTATCGAGGCTGAGTCCTTGCTGCAGCGGCCCAGTGTTCGAATCCGACTTGCGGCCCTTTGCCGTGTGTCATTCCCTCTCTCTGCCCCCCCTTTCCTGTCTGTCAAAGGCAATAAAAGCCCCCCAAAAATACTTAAAACTTGCCGTCGCCAAGTGCTTGCTCATGGTGGGAACTGGTGGAGTTCGCTCTATTTGGAAAGTGTCCTGAAATAACTTTTGTTATTAATTGGCACTATACAAATGAAACTCTCTACTCTAAACTCAACACAAGTACTTAGAAGCAGGATTTTCACAACTAGTTCAGAAGCCAATGGTGGTCCAACTTGCACAGGTGTAATGTGGAAACTTGTATTCGGAATTTAAACTTTCGAAATGAACACTATTGTTTTCCATGTTTGTGTGTGTTTAAGCCAGATTTAAAAGACATATCCATTAATGGTTAAATGGTAAATGGACCTGTACTTGTATAGCACCTTTCTAGTCTTCCGACCACTCAAAGCACTTTTACACTACGTGCCACATTCACCCTTTCACACACATTCACACAGTGATGGCAAAGTCCATCGAACAGAAAGCAATTTGGGGTTCAGTATCTTGCTCAAGGATACTTCGACATGTGGCACCAGGAGCCGGGGATCGAACCCACAACCTGCCTCTGAGCCACAGCCGCCCTTAAGGCATGATTTTGCAAATGCATTTTCAGACAAGAAACTACTGAGCACAACACTGAATAACTTCAATATTGGTAGTACAAATGCATTCCTTTACAGTTACATATCCAGTATTACACCACTTAGAGTTCACAAAGACAGCAAGGCCTCCTCCTCTCTTCTTATTACCTCTCTTCTTTCCCTGTCCACACATGCTAGAGCAGGTAGGCTGTCCTGTATTTTGCCATTCAGCCATGTCTCCATGAAGCAAGGCAAACTGCTCTCCTTGTAGCACACTGGCTCCTCACCAGGGTAGTTCATCCACTTTGTTGATGAACTATATATATGATATGACTATACATATATATATATATATATATATATACATATATGTTTATTTGATATTTTAACCATCTTCATCTTTTTAACATAGATTAACTTAGGAATAACATATAAATACAGGGAAGGAGACATTTGACTGAGGTTCTTTTGAAATGAAGCTAGAGTTAAGTAATTTATAGCTTGACGTCTGCTTCAATAAATGTTTTCTGTTAATCATATTTTACCGCCTGGCTGCCGCACAGGCGCTTCAGCTGTCAATTCCCTGACGCCCTGACGGAGTTTTTGAAGCATCTTTGGCTGTTGTGTCTCTATGTGATCAGCCCCTGAGAGTACAGTGGGTTTACCCACGCTGAAAGAGGATAGAAGGCAGCATAAAGCTGTGGGGAGCTGCAGAGTTTCTGAGAGACACCTTACATTACACATATAGCCATTTGATTGTTGACATAAAAAAACATGAGTTCAGGTTTAACAAATGAGGACAACTAAGAATACTGGATTCATGTTTGCATAAAGGTGTTATTACTGTAACCTTGCGTCTATAGCTGCAGTGCAACCAAACAAATGCTGAAAGCAAAGGATGAAGAGATCAGAGTGTTTGAAATGGAAATTACCTAGATGTAAGCAGGGAACAAACAGCGTGGCATGATGGGTAAGCAGGCTCTGATTTGAGAACAGATTAAACCTCATACCTTTTTATTTCCTGGATGCAGTATCTCCTAATAGATACTGCCACACACACACACACACACACACACAGGCATACAACTCAAATTCAAACACATGTAATCAGAGAAAGAAAGACAAATATAAATAGACATTCAGTATACTGTACATTACAGTATAATGCCATCCTGCATATTTGCCCTCAATAACGGTGCGTGCAACCAGCATGAATAATGGACGATAACGTTGTGTTCCTCACTATTCAATGAATAATATATACATATCCATTTCTGCCTCTCTCTTTCTCTCCAACTCTTTGTCTGTCCATTTCTTAGAGATCCCAAGGAGGGAGATGACCCATCTGGTTAAATGAATGAAAGGACAGAGTAAAGGAACAACAAAAGAAGAGCAAGAGGCAAAGAAGGAGAGGAACATCCAGCAGAGGAGAACAAAGGGAAACAGGAGGAGGAGAGTGGGAAATGTGGGGAGCTCCATGAAGACTGAGAGAGAATAGGTATAAACAGTAAGCATTATAGGGAGGAAAAAAAGTCTTGAAAGAGACGGACAGGGCCGAAAGTGAAAGAGGGGAAGCCACAGAGGGCGAAGAAGCTCGGAGCTTTGGAAAAGTAGGAAGGTAAAGCGAAGGACTGGTTGAGGGAGGGAAGAAACATCTGGATGGTCTCCACAGGGACAGCCAGCAGGTTACCGTCCCTTCGAAGATGGCCTCCAACTTCAATGACATCGTCAAGCAGGGCTACGTACGCATGCGGAGCCGCAAGCTGGGGGTGAGTGTGTATGTGTGTGTGCATGTCTCTGCGTTGATGTTTTATCACATCCGTCACAGAAGACAATTCTTGGCTTTACACTGTAAAACTGAGATTGTTTTTTAAGTTTCCACCAACTGGGTGAGTTAACTAGTGTACTGTTGATATATCCATATGTGCATAATTTTATACATATATTGAGGAACCGCTTGAAAACATTGTTGGTACATCTCAAGGTGTTATTCCTAATAAACAATTGCCAACACAGTGTCATACATTTGCACATTTAATGAGCTATTTGTGAATATCTACTTCTACAGTGTGTGACCAAGGTGTTTGATATGTCAAATAGTGTGTAATTATTTATAGATGGGTGAAAGGACTTTTCATTTTGACAACTGTAACTTAGAGCATGACCCATCAGTCGGCCAATATTATCCAAATAACAAAAAAGACTCACTTTGTATTGATCCATGCAGGTTGGTTTTGGTTTTATCTGTATAGGTTTTGACAAATAAAACCAATAATATGTTTTTTGTAATTTGGGTGAATCTACCCTTTGAGGAAAGATGATTATATATGCTGAATACAGCATATCAGCACACTAGAATTGGGACAGTAGATTTACATTAGAAGCAGGCAGATTTGAGTGCTAGTCACATTCAGATGTTGAAGGCTGTGGAATTCAACTTTGCATGACTCATATTATGGAGACAAACCATCAGTTTGAGCCAGGTTCTGTTCACCAGCTCACATCTATTGCTGCTCACAAGTGAATGCTGCTGAAGCTGAAATTCCCATTTCAGCATGAAGTCAGGGCTTAGGATATTAGAAGAAGTTTTAGCTCAGTGAATGGCTTATGCATAGGAAAACTGTGGCCTGTGGGAAATAATGCTTGCTTTGTAGTGCTTGAAAGAGAGAATATATGTGTGTGTTTTTATGTTTGCTTTTACTTGCAGGTCCAAACCTTATCACTGGTCTTAACTATTCATCTAGCACCATCATCGGGTCAATTTTAGAATTTGTCCAGTACTTTGTAAATAAATACCTGAAAAACTAACATTCAAATATCAGGGTAAAAACTACTTGACTTCTTTGTGTCATTGGTTAAAAAATGGAAATCGGAAAATTACTTATTGTGAATTCATGAATTTTCTGTTATTTGTGAGAGTTCCTGACTGATACTTGAAGAGCTGAGACAGCAGGAGAAATGTCACCTCCAACTCTGCTTTGAGGCAACACAGCCAACCACTGCCAGGATCCTTGTTCTTCAAGTGATAGAGTCCTTGGTTGTGCTGAATCCCTGTGCTTTGTGTTAAAGAAGCAGCGCTTTGATATAACAAGGTCGCATAGCAGAGTCGATGCTAATTATTTCCCAGCTGAGGTCTTGTGAGGGCAGAGTTCTACTTTCTGAATTCTATACTCTGTCTCCTTGTACTGTGTGTCCTCTCCAGCCCTGGCTTTCGATCAGCTGTAAAAGCTGTGATGCTGCAATTAATTTTTTCTGTCTTCTATCATGAAGTTGTGGGTTGCAGGTCTAAGGATCTGTCATCCAAGGAAATACAAATGAAGGGAAAATGTGAGCAAGAACATAAAGAATTTTTTTTTTATTCAAGTTTAATTTTCTGCTCATATTTTGCACTCCATGTCCTACTTGAACAATGCACAGTGTATATACTTTAATTTATAGTTTTTATATCTTCTATTATATTTCGTATTTTGTAATATTTTTATTTATATATTTAATTTTATTCTTTGTTCTCTGTTTTGCACTACTTTGCCCTATTGCTGCTGTGTCAACCTGAATTTCTCCTAAGGGGGATAAATAAAGGAATATCTTATTATATCTTATCTTATGGTTTGCCTGTGGATTTGCCTGACCAGCATCATTCTTATTTTAGAATAATTCACAAAAAATGTTACCATTTCTCTCTTTCTGTGTGACTGTCTCTCTCTCTTTGGGAATCTTTTAGTGTTATGTTTTGAACGCCAACTGCTCTAGATTGTCCCTGACCCCTCTTTCTCATACTGCCCCAGTCATTTCATTGCTCTGTGTCTTCTTTTTCCTTTTCTGCCTCATTATCTGTATCCTTCCCCTGCATTCTTTCTATGTCATCTATCTTTCTCTCGTTTTTGCCCTTTTTCATTTGCTGTCTTAATCTATCTTCTCCCTGTGACAGTTTGGTTAGCAGATGTTGTGATGTGTAGTGTGAATCATTGATAGTTTGGCTTCAGTGGAACATTGCTGGTGTGCTTTGGATATGAAAGCTCTTTACTGGTTTTACAGTCGCAAAGTATTGAATAATAGTCATTAAAAAAGATGGTAACTCCTGATGTTTCTTTGTGTATTCAGTAGTCAGTAACAGAGATTTTTAGTTTATTGAACCAAACTGGTTATGATGTTCTGGTTTTTTCTTGTGTAATGTGGGTAATGTAATTTGGTATACATCATAATTATTTGCAGTCAAGTGGGTGAAAACAGCTAATATTAGTCTCTTAGCTGCAATTCTGAGTATCAGGAATTTTGGATAACTATGGTATCTCACACTTACAAAAAAAACCTTTGAAGGCCACCATTACTATCCATCCATCTGTCCATTGTCCACTCATACGCCCCTCTTCTTAGTTACCTCCTAAAGCTCCTCTTGGGCCATCCCAAGGCATTTGTAGGACTCCAGTGTCTGCCTTGGGGTCTCCTCTCATTTGAACGTGGCTTTAATTTTGGAGCTGATCCCCTTTTAACACAAAGCAGCAACTGTTCTACACCAGACTTTTGGATGTCCAAGCTCTTTACCCTGTCCCTATATAGGTGAGCCCAGACACATTTAGAAGGAGACTCATTTTCTCTGCTTGTATCAGCGATATCATTCTTTCGTCACTGCCCAAAGCTCATGACCGTAGGTGAGAGTTGGAATGTAGATGGACTGGTAAACTGAGAAGCTCAACGGCCCTCATGCTCAGCTCCTGTGGTTTTATTTAGTCTTGCAATACCAGCCAATTACAGATCTCAGCGCCTGCCAATCATCTGCAAAGTAGTTGCTTGAATGGTGGTGGGAATAGCCGCCAGCAAACATATGTTGCTTAAAGGACATGCCATACTAGAAACAATGCTCTCTTTCTCTCCTTTCCCCTCCGTAGCAAATCACTTTGTAATTTGGGGAGAGCTTTTTGAAACATCAAAAATGGATGTGCAACGTTATATGGTACAAAAGTGTTTACAAGCGCGTGACTTCTGCACATCACCGCTATGTCACCACCCTAAAGACTTTGGATTGGTTCTGCAATGCAGTTTTTTTTTTTATTCTCTAATTGTTTCCACCAAGGCTGGGAGGGTCTAATGAGCGAAAAACAGCTGCCTGCTAGCACTGGAAATTGATGAGAGAGGTAAGAGTGAATGAATGAGAACAGTTACCAAACATCAAAACAATAAGCTGAAAGATGCTGAAATGCTCTCTAGAACTGAGGGGAACTGCAGCATTAGTGCAGCTCTAAGTTGGAAAAAAGTCAGGTTTTTGCTAGCTTTTGTTTTTGAATTTGTGATAAACTCAAGTTTAGGATAGCAGTGACAAAGTCTTAATATGCCTCAGAGTTGTCCTAGTGAAACTTTTGGATACCCTGGAGGGGGGGCAATTTCAGTCAGTGAGTTAACAAAGTGAAAACCCAGGAGAGAGACAGGGGTAGGAGGAGGGCATGATTACAAAGAGAGGTAAAAAAGAGGGTTATCTGAGTTAGTCCCTGCATTCTTAGGGCAGAGAGGACTTGCACAGCTGAGGTCCTCCTTAAGGCTGGGTAGATAGACCGCCAGAGTCATGCTTAATTTATCTCAACAGGAATAACAAAGCCAAAGGAAAAAGCCCCAGACATGCAAAGTCCCAGCGCACACTGACTACTAACCTTGGGTGCACTAATGTCCCCGTACAACCCTAATGTTCCCACGCAACAGTCTGGTTTTTGTTTGCTGCTTTAGTATTACCACAGTCCTCTAAGTATAATGAACTATTGAGATTGATATTGATCAGCCTTTGGGCATGGAACATGGTTTCAAACCCCCACACCCTCCTTAACAATCTCTCGCTGATTAAGCATGCAGTCAATGTATTGGGATGGTTAAAAGGCACCAAGCCTAAAAGCACATGTGAGATGATGTCCTCTGCCCATATGCTCAGATGTGCCTATTGGGTATGAGGAAACAAATGCTTATGTAGTTTTTTCTCCCACATTCTGCAAGTAAAATACATTTTCCATCCTTCAGATGCACCCACACACTGACACAATGGATGCATTCCAAGCTTTGAGATTAGTAAGCTAAACACTCCTTAGACTATTTGAATATGGAGAGAGCTGTACTTAATGCACAACACCAGCATTCAAGTAGCTCATGGACATCCTTTACAGTAAAAGCACATTGTTGAGAGACCCTGAATAATGCATCCATTCACCAAGCAAACAAAAATGGTAAACTATATTTTATGCTCCCAATGCTTATTAGAATATATTTTAGATGCTCCTAGGCAGATATGTGTTACTATTAATCAAAACTATTAAATTATATATATATAAATTATTCACATAGATTAATAGATGAGGAAACCCCTACCTTGGGACCCTGGGGTCCTGGAAGAGTCTAAAAGTTGGAATTAAAGTAAACTTAGGGATGACACATGCGTAGGTGAGTGTTGAGCTAACATGCTAACATACAGGATATATCAATTCAATCATGCCAAGAAAGCATGCTGGAGAGTATTTCCATTAAAATAATTTAAGCTGTCTGCAAATGAACAGAATAAGTGGATAGGATTTAAGGGCTGCAGAGGCAGCTTTGGTCGCTTTAGGAGGAGAAACTAACCTGACTGCGCCAGCTTGTGTAGATTAGCATAAAGTGGGTATGTCTGCAAAAGGGAGACTAGTGGGTCCCCTTAGAACCCATTTTCATATATCTTGAGGTCAGAGGTCAAGGGACTTCTTTGAAAATGACTGGCATATTTTTTGGAGAATTATTTAGCCCCCTTCCCTACAAGCTA